GGCATTCCTCAGCTGCCTTTGGCTTGTGTTGAAGCAGACGCAGTGGGACTTTCCTGAAGAAAAGATTGATTCCATCATTATTCTCTTTTCTCACCTCATTCTGGCTTCTTCATTTTCATAGGAAGACCCTCCCTGCCTCTGCCTGGTTGGGTGTCTTGCAGCTACTCAGACAAGCCGCACACAAAGTTAGGGCCTTTGCACTAACTGTGCCTTTTGCCTGCAACACTGCTCTGCCAGACGTCTTAGAGTTCCTTCCTCATCTCATGCTGGTTTCTGCCCGCATAGTTCTGTATCTGGGGGCTGTCTGTGATTACCCTTTCAAAATAACTCCCTCACTGCCCCACATGTTTCTCTGTCACCTGGCCCTGGCTGACTTCTCCCCAGAGCATTTATCACCGTCTAACATACATCTATTTGTCTGTGATCTTTCTCCCACCACTAGAATATTTCTGTGAGCCAGTCTCCATGAGAATGGCTGTCTCGTAAAAGAGACTCAAGGCTTTCCCCCCATGTCTGTCACGTTGTATGCAAGCAGTAAATACTGAGTGAATAAATGAATGGATATGAACTGAAGACCATGTAGCTCCTGCAATCCAGTACATGATCTAGATTTTACTTATATTTGAAGCAGGGCTGGGCATGTGGGCCACCATGCTGTTACATAATGGAACTGTGCCTCACATCATGCACTTGTCCTTCACTGAGGGACAGTGTGGGGACAGCCAGATGAAACTACTCCTTCTAACTGCAGGGTTGGGGCGGGGTTGAGGCCAACACCTGTTACATGGTTCACTGGCTTCTGAATGAGGACTCGAAGGAGAAATTTCTCTCATGTCTCAGTATTAGGAACGGCCAGCCTTTTCCTGAATTACACGTTTTTTGCTTTATTTTTAATCTAATGCATGAAGGATCTTACAAATGCTAAGAAAATCAATTCTAGTTTCATCCCCCTTGGGCCCACCTCCGACTAACCGCCACCTAGATGGGATAGGCTGCTTTTCTGTGTGCGCTGCTTGTACTCAGTTTATCATTTTTCTTAATAATTTATTTTATTCAATTTGTGCTCTATATTTTTGAAAGCTGCCTCAGTTTCTCTGCAAGTGAATAAATAAAGCATTGCATTGAATTCCCAGTCATATCTTTTTTCACAACTTGGCAGGAGAGATAGTGAACACTGAAGTGCTCTTCTTGATGCAAATTACCCTGAAGGTAAATGACAAAGTCACTCACCTAATACCAGTGATGACATGGTGTGTTGTTCTGGGGGAGCTCTTTACAGACATTCACACAATTCCATCTTCCTATAGTGCCATCTTTTCTTTCTCTCCTTCTAAATCATCCTCATATTTCAAGATTCAGTTCAACTTTCACGTCCTCCACCAACACTCATCCACCTCCCCGTCGCATGGGAGTTGTTAGATTTTCCTCGGAGCTCCTGTGACATCTTTGGGAACATGCATCAACTCATAAACCAATCATATGTTTTTATTTCTTGAATTAACATCTGAACTATAGTTTAAACGGTTTGTCAGGTTTATTTTTCCTCACAAGACTGCAAGTTTCAAAAGAAAAGCCTTGTCTTCCTTGTATGCCTGTTCCTTCTCTAGGGCTCAGGGTACTTCACTGTATAAAGCAGGCGGGCATTCATACAGCATCTCTGGACTTAATGCACTTTGGAGGTCAGTTCCCCTGTGCTGTGCTATTAGGAGAATTTGACAGTGAACAGGGCGGCAGCCTGATTGTAGACCCACTTCATAGTAGAGACTATGTACGGACCCCACTTCCTTGCCTGTACAGACTCTGGTGAGGAGTGCTTTACCTCTCTGAACCTCAGTTTCCAAATCTGAAAATTGAAAGCTATATGGATCTAACATTTTAAGAGTGTCTAAAACTATCCCTGAAACACCAAGTGCTAAGGAATATTTTCATGAATAACTTAAGGCTCCACTTTAATTAGTGCTATGGTTTCTATACAAATAAAGCATTAACATGTTAATATTGTGAAAAGCAATTTGTTTTAGTAAATAGTGTATCCAAAAGTTTCAAGTTGTATTCCTTTTCTAAATTGATGAACTCCAAATTCATGAAAAGTTACTTTTTTGTTGTTGTCTAATTAATTAATTTATTAATTTTTGGCTGCTTTGGGTCTTCATTGCTGAGCGTGGGCTTTTCTCTAGTTGCAGCGCCCAGGCTTCTCATGGCGGTGGCTTCTCTTGTTGTGGAGCACGGGCTCTAGGCGCATGGGCTTCAGTAGTTATGGCACGCAGGCTCAGTAATTGTGGCGCACGGACTTAGTTGCTCCGCGGCATGTGGGATCTTCCCGGACCAGGGCTCAAACCCGTGTCCCCTGCATTGGCAGATGGATTCTTAACCACTGTGCCACCAGGGAAGCCCTAAAACAATACTTTGAATCATTTCCTAATGATAGATTCGTAGAAGTTGACTTCCCATCTCAAAGGGTATCAGCATTTCATGACTTTTGAGATGTGTTACTAAACTGCTTTCTAAAAGAGTGGTACCAATATGCTCTGCCACCAGCAGTATGCAGCCTCTAAGTCTTGAATGTTAGCGGAACATTTAAATGGAAATAGCATGTGGACAGGACAGTGGGAGAGATCAGGGCTAAAGATAGATTTAGGACTTCAAATAAATGAGTCCATATTATGAGTAGGTAATCCCTCCGAGGGGAAAATGAAGAGTAGTGTGGGGAGGAAAACCTTCAAGAATTTTTAACATTCTCATTTTGTAGATAAAAATATGAGGTGCACAGAATTAAGTACTGCTCAAGGTCATACAAATAACTAGTGTCAGGACTAAGACTGGAGCCTGATAACTCGATTCCTTCCCCACTGCTCTTTCACTGTATGATGCTGGGGTCCCATGATTGGACTGTGGTAATGGGCTGTAGTTAATGAGGTTAGGTATACAAGGGGCCGGGTGGGAGGGGGGAAGAAAAATGATAGAGGAAACCTCGTAACATGAGTTGTCATAGATGTTAGATACATAAAAGTATCCAGAATAAATTTGCCCCTCTGTGTCTACTGCAGCATAGAAGTCAAGAAGACAGGACAGAAAATAAACTCTTAGATTTGAAGTCTGGATGGTCTCTGGCTTACTAGCCTCTTTTGGTTTTCTATTAGCATTCAGAACTGGCTGTACTCCAGCTTCACAGATAGGATTGTAAACATTTACAAGCCCACCATCATTTTTAACTAGCCTACTCTTGCCATAGATTATATAGCTTGCATTACACTAGCAGTAAAGGAAATGAAGTTAACATAATGACTTGATCCACTGTAAATTATTGCTAGCCCCAGGTTTATAGCCTATTGAAAAGCTCAATTAATTAATTTGATAACTTAAAATATTTTTCTTTTACATATTTTGGGATATGACTTCACCTGATACAAGAATGAAAAGTAAATTGGAACAGTAAAATATAAGTTAAAAGTATAGATCAAAAATAAGAGAGGTCCAGAGTCAGTGTCTCTTCTTTGACAAGTGCCATCTTTTGGGTAGATTCAGGCACATATACCATTGCATGTGTGGTCAGGTCATCTTGCGCTGGACCCTCCCATAATAATTTATTGATTTAATTATTCAGCACATATTTATTGAACATTTAGGTATCACCAAGTATTAGAAATTGCTGAAATAGCAAGGTATGGGCCTCAACTCATGGAACTTAGAGTCTAAAAGGTAAGGATACTCTTAAGCGAAGAATTACCACC